TTTTTTTTCTATCCTCTTGCCTCTTTTTTATTTCAATCTTACTCTCATGTGTGTGTATACACTATTGGAATAATCTCGAGTTACGTTAATCGCAAATGCCCCGCCCTTTTGGTTGGAAAAAAAAAAGAAGAAATTTCGAGACGATATAATATCGTTAACCGAATTACATTGTCCCACGATTACAGTGTAAAATGAGATTTGTGTCTGGATATTTGTCTTTTATTTTATTTGAATGATTTCAGGGTGGTCCTGAGTCTCAGAATTTTATTCGGCGGAAGGAATTTTTATAAAATCCATTGATTACATTTTTGACATCGATTACAATAATTACTAATTAAATAAATGAATTGAAGTTGAATTAAAATCTGATGGGAGAGGAAAGTTTAAAACAGACAGCCATCGAAGGGGCACGAATCGAGGGAGACATATGTATTGGAGTGATGGTGACAGAAATGCTTTGGCAGGACATCCTCTGTCATCCACTCGAGGTGCACACAAACCCGTTAATACCAGAATCAAAATTGAGAGAGATATGGCAGATCGAGAAAGAGAAGATGGAAGGGCAGACAGAGTTCCTGATCGGACAATACAGCCTCGGGAATCAGGGGACAATGATGATTTCAAATTTAGGGACAAAAGGGTGGACCACAGGAGTCGGAGACACGCCAACAATCCCTCATACACATGTTCAACTCTGAACTAAACAAAATTAATGTCAACAATTCATGAAAATTTAATAAAAATCGGAAAAAATGGAAAACAATTGATTTCCCTTCCCAAATTAGATGTCATGAACTCGTGAAATATCCCGAGGAGATTTTGAATTCCAAGAAGCTGACATGTAAACAAAACAAATAGAGTCTGGGGGTATGAAAGATTGTTATGTACCTGCAAGCGTATTTCTTCGAATGATCCCGACGCTTTTAATCCACGATAAAAGAGCAGCGGTGAATGAGGATGAAACGATGAATTAAATGGCAGATAGATTGAGAAAAAAAGCCCCTTTGAGTGGAATATTGAATTTCGAATTGATCCTTTTTATTTATCCTCTTCGAGTGCGGGGGTGAGGACTTTGTTTAACTGACGATCCTCACTGCAGGCGATTTATCTCGATGACGATCGATTGTGCGCCGCCTATTAAATCTCGATTCAATGAGAGAAATATCCTTTTGGGGAAGGAAAAGGCCAGGGAATCCCATGATTCGGGGTTGATCTTGGGGTGAGATAATAATCAGAGACGAATTCTAGGGCAAATGTCACAGGAAATAATTCCGTCGACAAAAAAAAAATAGTGGAATTGTCATTTTCATCTGTAAATTACGGATTTAATTTATTCAACGAAGGATAATAATTGGGGAGAATATTTAGGCCGTGGCCGTGGCTGTGGCCGAAGGGTAAGATGAAACATTCAGATATCATCGAACCAAAAACACAATGCAATCCCATAAAAAAAAAGGGGATATGCACGAGTGACTCGGTATCACGTACGTTATAATGAATTCCATATTCGTTATAGAGAAACTCGACGGCGATCTCTACCATCGCAAGGTAGATAACAATGGTATAATGTGAAAAGCAAAAACGAATGAAAAAAATAATATAACCCTGTAATGGGGATTGTGTGCCCAGGTGCATCGAGAATTGATTCACGCTTCAACAAATTATTTCATATCTTGTCAATTGGCGTATATTATGTGTTCATACCCGGGTGATGCTTCAATGAATTGAATAGCAAGGCTATTTATTATCTTGATTGTCGAAATCAAAACGGTGAAAATCGTATGGAAATAATTGTACACCAATTGGGGATTAATAGCCGATTAATTGTGATATGTAATTTGAATTTAATCCGATCTTGTCGTTTTCTTCATGAAAATTAATTAAGAGGAATTAAATAATTGATTGCATTTCTGTTTGTTATTATTTATTGGAATCTCCCTGGGGAGATTTGTGGAGTTTTAAGATTGAGTTGTGAGCAACTGTTGTATTTCTGGGTAGAGGAATAAGATGGAGTACAACTAGAACGAGTTACTGGTATTGCAGTTGATGGTATGTACCCAGGGAAATAGCGTATTGGATATCGACGAGTATCATGCGACTGACAGCTAGAGCTAATTGAATCTTGACTCTATCCTACCGTGTGCCTCAGACTTCAATTGAATGTTCGACAGAATCCAGTGCACTGTTAGAAAAATCATCTCCAAAAGCAAAATTTATCGATTCACCAGTGAATTTTGCTGAATTAATTCGTCAATCGATTTAGATTTCTCGGTAATTTATTTGACCTTTCTGAAAAATAATTGACTAATTGAATAAATTGAATGCATTAAAAGTGATTATAAGACTTGACTGGGTCACGAAAAACTAAAGTAAAAGAAAAATGGTATATAATAATCGGATTATAATCCCCCAGAATTCAGAATAGGTACGAACCGATATCCGTACGATTCCTCGATTGCGCAATCAAGATGGCATCGGGAATGGCATCTCTTCTCGCGCCCGCACATCGTATTCCTTTTACCTTTACCGACTCAAACTACCAACAAGTATTTCAATATCCGATCCAATATATTCCCCCCCAGTTGGGTATCACCCAAGGAACGAACTGTACGTGTGTGCAGTCATATTGGATTCTCTCCGTCACCACACCTTTATTCGACTATTCCTTTTTTTTTTCTCTCATTCTATCCAATGAAAATCGATGGGTACACACGTATTCCTTTTACTATCGAATTGCCATCGAATCGATTTATATCTCCAGTTCTTTTCATTTTTTTAATGCGTCCACCTGAGAAAAAAAAAAGAAACAAAAAGAAAAAAAAATGGGCAAGAAATTCTCTCGAGTGAAAATGAGTTTAAATTACCATTAGATAAATGCAATTGAAGATGTAGAAATTAATGTTCGGTGTGGGAGGGGGTGGTAATGGGTGGTAAGGGATGGGGGCAGATGGGCGATGCCATTTTCAATTTATTTCAAGTACCTTTTGGTGGCGTCGGGTAGAAGGGGATACCTATGTTCCTCTTTCCCTTTCCATTGGTTTTTAACCCTCAACCCTCTGAATTTTTTCAACCCCTCCGGATTTTCACGCTCTCCGGCATTCTTCAGCCTCACCACAGATATTTCGGAGATATTGAGAGGCTCAACAGTTATTTCCAGCGATCTCTATGTATCAGGGGTAGTTTCCACCCCAAATTTTTCTTATCATTTTATTTGAGACTTGAGTCTCCGGAATCTCGAGTCGCCAGTCTCAAAATAAATAATCTTAAATGATCGAAATATATGCGAAATATATTCGACTATAATTAACGGATATTTCTGGGAAATATCGGGACATAAATATTTGAAATGGGGGGAAAGAAAATTTTTAGATTTATCTATTGATTTGCAATAGCTCCGGTGGTTTCAGGTAAACGGTATTAGATACATAAAACATGAAAAAAATTATCGTACTTGTCAGAGGGATTAATGTACGAGGAAAAATGGTAGGCACGTTTTAACCACGCGCCCCGCGTTGAGTAAATAGACTGGGCATGTGCACATACACGAGAAATGCACATAGTGCATAGTAATGAGTGTATATAACTCCCGAGACAAATCCCTTTCTAGAAATATTTCTCATTGATTTCTAATAATCTATTTTTCTCCCTCCAGATCCCTTGAAAATAGAAAATAATAATTTTCACAATTTTCAAGAGTGAGAAAGGCAAATAAATACGAAAAGGGACGACAGCTACCGCTGAAAAATAAATAAAGAACCCGTGAAAGTATAACGTAGTTAATTAGCGAGCTAACCATCCACTCCGCAAAAAGAACAAGAGGGAATAATGAAAATAATGAAAAATTATGAAGCAGTTTGTGCTCATTTACCACAGTACACACTGTAATAAGCAAAGAACAAGTACTTGAGACCGAAGAAACTGTGAAATGAGCGCAAGAGTCCAACTTCTTCATGAACCCTTTTTGTTTATTAATTTGTGGAAATGAAAACGGAAAAAAAATCGGGGTCTATTCTACCTTGAACGACTGAGCACATTCTAAAATTCATTCTTCACATTTCGCGGTTCAATAAAATTATTTAAAATATTTATTACGCAATCGAGATGATTAATTACAGTCGATAAAACGTACTGTCTATCATTTTATTATTTTGCGGTGTGACATTTATTTATATTATTCAGTGACATATATATTTTTGTAATATTTAGATTGTAATCGGCCACATAGTGACTCTCGCGAATTCCTCAATATTCTTGGGGCAGATAAGGCTGATATGGAGACTTGAGTCAGGGTTACCTTGTCCATGTCTTCAGATAGAGCGACGTCGTCAGAGAACGAGTTTTACGCCTCCACGAGTCTCCAGAGTCGTTTGAAAGCGTGGAAAGGAGCGCTGTGGAAATAATACAACTTTGTGTTCGTTGCCGGAGGATCAAAGGGAATCCCTTTGACGTAGAGTGTACGGTTAAACGTTCAACTTGAATAAGGGTTGAGTGAAGAAGGCCCTCACCCCTTGGACCTCTGGCTTCCACTCCCTTTCACCGAGTCTCAAACTCAAATCTATTATCTTTACTGTTTTTTTTCTTATCCTTATTTTTCATCCTCTTTATCTCTTGATTTTATCCCTTGCCCTCTAGGTTTTCACTGGGGATTTCTACCCGAGTTGTCGATGACTTGTTGCATGACTTGAATTATTTGAACTGGAGAACTGTAGAAGTAACGGTGCTCTGGGTCTGCATCGGGATGACGATTGTAGGCGGTTTTTATAAAATCACCGGCTGACGTGAAAAAGAGAATTCGTGGCACGTATTTACCGTCGGGGGAGAATTCATCTGATTTTATCAACTCGGAGCTGTTCTCGACGTTTATCATAACAAAACTGTCCATTCAGATTAATTATTTATTCATTAATGAGGAATTAAATGAGAACTTACTGTTGACTTATGTCAATCAATTTGACAGATCGACTGAACTTGTCCTTCAATTTAATGCACGCCGGACATTTTGGCTTGTGAATAATCAAAAAAATGGGCTTTCCGCTCTTCTTAGCCTCTTCAAAACCTCCAGATAAATTCCTCCACTTGTACGAATTCCCGAAACCATAATCAAATTCATATTCAACCCCGTGAACCAACAGAGTCTCGATCACCTGTTCAGCGATACCTATTATTCCAGTGCTCCAGAAATATTTGAGATACTGTCGCATCGTGCTGATAATTTAATCCGATAAACCAACTGTCAAAACATGATTGAATAAAAAAACATGTGAGTGACTAGAAGTTCGAGTGGAAATTCGAGTCAAAGTGAAAAGTCGATGGATATAAAAAAATTAATTCTCTCCGCTCATCACGCGAATTAAAAAATTGACGTTAATTAAACCGTACAGATAATGAAAGCACAAATGACATGTTGCAATCAGCTGATTTCCATGCATTAGTTTTTAGTAATGACCCATTTAGCAGGTCTTCACCTTGCGCCGTTAATTAGACCAGTTGGAGTAATTGAAATTCTCCGGTTTGTCGCGTGTTGCTTTACGATTGTCATAATTCAGTCAGAGAATTATAAAGACACATCATGATGGCCTTCGGCATCGATGTGTGGCTGACGAATGAATCGAGTCGAATTGTCGCGACTTGAATATTAGGTAATGGAGACTTGAGTGAATTAGTCTTGTCTCAGACGAGTCGGTGTAATCATCATTTTGACTTCTCGAAATGTTGGGCTTTTTTATTATTGCGATAGTTTGCACGAGTCTCTCTGCACAGGACTGCAGAATTCCCGGACAATTCGCAAGTTTTTTTATTAATATTTCATTAATTTTAATTATTGAAAGACATTATTATTAGAATTCATCACTCAGTCGACGATTCTTTTACACTTTCTCTATTTTATAGCCAGTATCACAGCTTCATGAATATTTTTATATCTCCGCTATTGCCGGCGCCATTATTACGGCAACCGACAGTGAAACCCGTTTTTTTTTTACTGTTGTTTGCAAATAATGATTTATGTCTGCAGTAAATTCCTGTTTACATTAATGTCGATTTAATTGCTAGAGATATTTCTGAATGCAAAATTTGATTTAGTGTGCAGATGATGCCGCATGCTGCGGCGGCTGCTGCTGGGGCAATCGCTGCATTAACAGTCAGTATTTATTATTTGTTATTAATTAATTCACCTCTCGTGACCTTTCTTCCTTTCTGACAATTATTTAATTTTATTTGACCGTAATTATAAATGCATAATGAATTTTCTGCTTACGATTACTCAAATTTTGCTGTAATTTTGTGATAAATTTCAGCTTTTGGACCCTGTTATATCCACGAAAATGCTTGCCTGAATCATCGCTGTCCACCTGGAATGGACTGTTACCTCTACCAATCCGACATAGAGGGAAGTGAAGCAGTGGCTGACTGTCGGTATCTCGATTCAATGAAATAAAATGAAAGAAAACAGGACGACTACAATCGCAAGTGTCCCGGAGACATCTTCAGATACTCAAAAACATTTTCTCGAGTGGTTCTTCGGTGAATGATCACAGGAACTATTCCCATCGCGTTACTTTTGGTTTCGTTATCTTACCCGCAGCAACGAGGGTGAACTCGAAATTACACAGTCGGTTGAGCATTACCCCCTTTTCTGTCCTCGAGAATATTTGGGGACCCGGGGGATGCCTTTTTTCTCTAGACTCTCTGCGATCGTCACACAATTACTCGTGCATTTGATGTAGCGAAAATTCATTTATTTTATCTTTACATTTTGGTTATTTATTTACTGCATTCTTTGAAACTCCTCTCCCACCATTCGACTGTTGTAACCATTTGTGTACGTGTTCTGTCCTTTCCAATTTTTTAGACTCCGCACTTTTTTGTGTTCTTTGTAGTACGCCGTCGTCTGGACTGAAAATATAAGAAGAATTTTCTTTTGGTGATGATGATTATTTCGTCATTCCATCCAGAGACCGAATGGCTTTTTATTATTCATAGGATATAAACAATTTCATTTACCGAAGGGATCGAATTGCATGAATTCGAATTTATCTCCCAGTCTTTCTCGAATGAGATTGATTGTGTGTCCACTCACTTGACTTCGGCAAGCAACAAGAACAAATCTATAAACAAATAATTAAATTATTGCAATGTAATTTATTCGGGTGACTAACGATAAATGATCTGCTATTGAAATTCACTTCAGTATTAAAAAATCAATGGATAGATGGAGTTGGCCACATTTTCCCTCAAAAATTATTGACAAAAAAAAGAATTAATTTATTCGTCTGTGAAATAAAATAAAAATTATTGGGACAGGAGATTAATTACTGCAATGGCAGAGATTGTTTTTGGATGAAGGATGAAGATTGTTGTGCAGATGTAATTGTGTTTTTATTAGGAGATTATCAAAGGAAGATGGGGCTAACCTCAATGTTGTTTTCGAAAGAAGAAAAATATATTTGAGTGGTAAATAATTGTCTACTCACTTGCTTTTTGGTTTTGCACATAACAGCGCGGTTATAAACATTATTGCAAATTGTATTTATTGGTGACACGGATTTAATTCGTATTTCTTCTCAATTTCTGATAGAAACACCACTAAAAACATTCGAAGCTATATCGATACTCCGTGGTATCGATATTTAAGATGTATCTACGTCGTAGATACCTCGATTAATCGATGAAAATTGCAATGAAAAAGTTTATTATCGGATGAATACATGTGTACAAAAAAAATTAATAAATTCCAAGTCAATTAATCGCTCGTCCCCACTACAAAAAAGTTCCAAAATGCAGGAATAATTGCAATTGCAAATAAATCAAAAAAACTGAAGCACTGAAAAATTGATTGAATAAATTCGACACGTGCGGGCAGTCAGTCTCAAACGATCGAATCCAAAAGAAATTCTCTTAAAAAATAATTGAATAATTAATTAATTACCAAGCCTATTCCCCAACTCGGTGGATAAATTAAACTAATTGGACGAACTGTTGATCCAGAAACACTAGATCAACCTTTAACTTTATCGTTAGCCATGATTTCAAATCGTTTAACAACTTTAGCGATGTCAATGTCCTTAGCAATCTTGAGGTAATTAGTTTTCCTAACATTATGAATACTAGCCCAAGTGGGTAGCAGTTTGCACATGAGTTTAATGTGCTCCTCGAGCTCAGCTGGTGTCATTTTCGTTCTATACGAATTGTCGAGCTTGTGAATGACAAACTCGAGTGTCAGGACTCCCTTTTTCTCAGCAACGAATATATTCCTCAGGATTTTCGACATCTCTGGAAGACGTGCATGCAGAGCAGCCTCTTTGTCCTCACTCGGTGTCCTCGTCATTGCCTCCAGTGCCTTTGCTGCCTGTTTAGCTCGAACTTTCTCCAGAAGAGACATGGGAATGCCCTTGAGGGCAGGATTAATCGGCCCCTTCTTCTCAGCCTGCGGTGTGGCTGGTGGTGTATCAACACCAGATATTTCAACGCTCCTGGAGCCATTCGTCTTTGTCTCCACTGCTGTACTTGATGAAGAGCTGGTGGACGTCATGTTTGCCTCAGCCAAACGTTGAAGGGCCTTCTCCATCCTCGTATTGCAGTTGAACAGACTCTTTGCCTTCGCTAAACATTCAATAAAATTGAAAATTATCCAGAGATATTCGCAGAAAATCCATCGTCAGCGCTTCCTCAGAATAACGATTCGATGAATAAGATGATTTGTGCGCGAATGTTATGACAACTGGCGAATGAAAGGAACACGTACTTATCCTCCTGATGGTTTGACAAGTGCTCAAAGAAACATGAAATCCATTCTCCAAAGACAACATCCTGACCTAAATATTATTCCTCCCGAATAAAAAAAAGAACCCACCAAATGCCCCCAACAACTGGAAATTCCCGTTAAATACGAGCAATGATAACTCTCCCATCGATCGAAATGCAGCGATAAACTAATTTGATTATCAAATAATGTCTCGTCAATGTTTAATCAGTTCTGAGTTTATGGATTTCCTTTCTGCAAACGTTGACATATTTTCTCTTGCGGAATCATGACCCGGAATGCTCGATTTATTTGTGTTTTGAATATTCGTGTTTCTAGGTGACCCAAATCATCAATTCAGTCAACAATTCATTGATAAAAAACAATAATTACGTACCCAGAACATCGTGAGCTGATGTTGCTTTTTCAACGTTGGGTGGCTGAGGTAATTCAGCCTTCTCAATGACAGGACAACTGTCAACATCGAATTCTGGATGCCATCGAGTTATTTTCTCCCTCGGAATGACCATGGGGCTCTCCAAATTGAGAAGGAACTTCTCGTGTTCAGTCTTTACTCGCTCTGTAAATGTCAGAATAATTCACTTCTTTGTCCCTACAGATGAAATAATATTTTATTTAATAATTCCGATGGATGAATACCTAGAAGAGCATTGTAGAACAATCTCCTCCGCTCTAGAAGAATCCCAGGTGCCATGCTGCTCTCAGCAGCAGATTTAATGACATCATCACCATCTGGAGTGTTCCTCCCACTCTTACCCTCGACCTTGGGCACAATCACAAGCTCATACTTCTCCTGTTTAGAGGCTGACCCGAAGGATCTCATCTTCTCCATGCTCAGAGCAAATGCCTCAGGTAGGACAGTCTGCACCTGTGCCAAATGCTCGACCGTAAAATTCCTCCTGAGTAATTCCTGAACAGCTGGTTTCAATTTTCTGAATGTAATAGTCTCCTTTCTGTTAAACAGCATAGCAGCAACGGTGTCGACACACCTGAAGACCTCACCCAGGAATCGATAGGTGAATGGTAGAGTGAGTGCAGGCGTTGCTGAGTCAACGATGCTCTGATACCTCTGATAAGCAGGTGCCTTTGTTGGACTGGACTTGACAGGACTCGGTGTTTTCTCCTTGGGTTCAAAGAGAAGGCGCCTCTGGGGACTGATCCCAGGACAGAATCTCATAGATTTCGTCGGTGTCTTCAGGGGAGATCGAATCCCTTTCTGAGGGCTCACAGGCACCTCCAGCTCAATCTTCTCGAATTTCCTGATCTTGGGAGGCATTCCATCGTTCTCCTGACTCTCCTCTCCTTTCTCCTTCCTCTGAAGCCCCTCCAACTTCTCCTCGCACTTCTTAATCCTGTCGATGGATGCCTTGAGCTCAGCCAGCCTCGATGACCTATTAATCCTGTCCTTGATCTCTCGAAGACTCAGCTCAGACCTTCCCACCCGCTCCAAAATACTTCTCTTGGGTGTTGTTGAGCCTGCAGCTGGCTCCTCAGTCCCTTCCTCCTTGGAGGTGGCTTTCCTGGGGCTCAACAGTCCCTTCTTCTCAAAAATCACGTTCTTACTAGTCTTGTCCTCGTTGATCTTGGAAAATGAATCGCGAATGTCCTGCTGTCCCTCAGCAACTGATGGCTTTCTACTCCTCGTCGCCCTAGCCCTCGTCGCCATCCTGGGTGTTCTTGTTTTTGCATCGAACTGAATGTTCCTGACCACTGAGTTTACCCTCTCCTGTTTGGAATTTTGGGTAAAAACAATTTTTGGGCTCGAAGTCTCCTCCGAGGAGTCTTCAATGTCCTTTCCTATGGATTTACTAACCTCAATACTTTTTGGACGCGTTCTCTGCTCCAGAATGAGGACTTTGGCTTTATTCCTCAGCTCATCGGTTGCCTGTCGTTTGCGCGTGTGGAAAAACGAAGTGACTGTTGGCTGCGACATTATTTATATACGTGTATATAGTGCAGCTGGGGAGGATAAATAAATAATCCAGGGACTTGGATGGGAGGTGTGAATTTTTTTTTCAATGATCGAGTTTTTTCTGGCTTTATCGTGGGTTTTTGGGGAGCTCTTGGTTATTGTGCCACGTTCCACTTTTACTCGCGCACTTTATCAGTTCTTCAGGGGTTCTAGGAGGCAGCCCGCCTTTTACGCGGTATTTAGGCGCGAAAACAATGGATTATGATGCCACTTATCGGTAATTTGGGTCAAAGAGGATTGACTAAAGTAGAGGCTCAGTTGTGGGGGTTTGAGTGACCCCAGCTGCATCGTAGTACTGCATCCCAAGGGAGGGAGGGCGCCACACGCAATCTTGGGGTGTTTTTTTTTATTAACCAAGTTTTTATTGCAATGCTGGGGTATTTATCAAGTTGACGGGGTGAATTTTATTTTCTGCGGTGTGAATACTTTTTGTTTTTTATTTATTTATCTGAAATTTAGCCGACTGCAGAACGTGCGGAAGGGGGGAACCACATCTTGTGGATTTTCAATGAAAAAAATTATTCAATACGTTGCACATATACCACTAATGAAATTTTAATTGCAGAACGAGTGCGTTGTC